GCCCCTTTTATCCCCCAGAAAATATTGTCTCTTGTTTTGGAAACATACTAGATCTCTCATTTATCCATCATCCATCCATCCGTTTATCCATCCATCCATTTATCCCTCCCTCTCTCCACCAAGCAAGTATTTAGCACCAATTATGTATTCAGCCCTGTGCTCAGTGCTAAGGATACAGGGATTAAAATGCTGCTGCTGCTGCTGGTGGTGGTAAAAGCTGACATTTGCTCAGCACTTAGTACAAGTCAGTTAGTGTACTTCATCAACTCGGTAACTATACCGTGGGTTAGGTGTTACTAATCCATTTAACAGATGGGGAAACTGAGGCCAAAGGACATGGAGCCAGCCAGAATTCACACACGCATTATGCGTGCCTTAAGGGAGGTCCAAGCCAGTGCAGAAGCTCTGGGTGAAGGGCACCAGGCAAGGGCTCCTGGAAGAGATGGCATCAGAGCGAAGGCTTGAGAGCTCAGTCTTCTTTGGCCACGAGGTGATAGGAGAAGGAACACAAGGAGAGGGAAGAGTGAATGAAGGCCTGGAGGGTGGCGTGTGTGCGTGTGTGTGTGTGTGTGTGTGTGTGTGTGCGCGTGTTGAAGAGGGCAGGTTGTGGTTTGGAAGAAATTGTGGGTCTTATCTCTGGCCAGACCCTCTGTCTCTTGGCACCCCCACCCCTCCTCACCCTGCCTGCACGCCGCTGAAGATCAATGCATGTTCCTGAGGTTATTCGTGTGTGATGATCTGTGTGTGCCGGGATAAGGAGCCAGGGTATCACAACGTTTCAGGCAGTGAACAGCCTGGGAAGAGACGCAGAAGCGTGGGGACGTTAAGAGAACAGAAGGTTCTGCGTGGTTGGACTGTGAGTTTGCGGGGGACAGGATTAAGAGCTGATAACTGCAGTTCTGGGTGTACCATAGCATGGCCTGGGCTGTTGTGCCACTGAGACACTCCTGGAGCCAGCGGAGCTTTTATGAAGACAACCCCTGGTGTTTTCTGCAGGGTGGTCCTAGAGGTCGGAGGGACCCAGGTTGAGGGCTCCTGGAGCGAGGGCAGGCTGGGTGGGATGCTTCAGTAACACAGGCCAGGCTAGCCACCCCAGCCCCCATTCAGGCATGGCTCCTTCACTCCCACTCGGTGCCCTGCCACCTGCCCAGGGCAAAGTAAGCAAGAGCCAGGAAGGACAGAGAGACACAAAGGGTTTCAGACACTCCGGACAATGCCCCCATTCTATCTCACTTTGGTGGAAGCATCTCTCATGGCCTGAGGCTCTTAAGGACCCAAAGGAAAAATCAGGCCCAGCTTCACCCCCAGGAACAACATTCACCACGTGTAAAACCTGCATTCCAGTTTACCTAACTCTCCACATCAACCCTGTGACTAGGCTCAGGGTAGTGAGGCTGCTTGTCTAGAGTCACATGCCTGGCGAGTAACAGAGAGAATGCAGATTTGTTTTCAGGAATGCTGTGCCCTTGGCTCAGCCCTCCATTCTCTGGGCTCCTTTGATGGAACTGGGACAAAACTCAGTGTTTCCAAGTGGGATGGCTACTATTTCACTGAGGCCCTCTGGCTTCCCCTGCAGCCCTCTTCCAAGACATAGGTTTTCGGGACCTTCGTTGATTCTTTTTTGAGGCCCAGTGTTGGGGGGCTATTGCATCACCCCCGGCCAGGCTCCATCATTGATGAATTCATCTCAAAGCGGTGTCCCAATGTCAGCAGGAAGCCTCCAGCTGTCATATTTGTTACAACAGCTTCCCCTTTGCCTGGCTGTCATAGCCATGGCCCCACTCTGCCAGGTCTTTTTTTTTTTTTTTTTTTTTTTGAGACGGAGTTTCGCCCTTGTTACCCAGGCTGGAGTGCAATGGCGCGATCTCGGCTCACCGCAACCTCCGCCTCGTGGGTTCAAGCAATTCTCCTGCCTCAGCCTCCTGAGTAGCTGGGATTACAGGCACGTGCCACCATGCCCAGCTAATTTTTTTGCACTTTTAGTAGAGACGGGGTTTCACCATGTTGACCAGGATGGTCTCGATCTCTCAACCTTGTGATCCACCCGCCTCTGCCTCCCAAAGTGCTGGGATTACAGGCTTGAGCCACCGCGCCCGGCCTCTGCCAGGTCTTATTCAACAGTTTGGTTTACCCCACCCTTCCCCTTTAATTAATGCTGCAGATAACTCTGCTTTTTCCCATGGCTCCTAATGAACTGTGAGTAACATGTGGCAGGTGTGTGGCTGGCCTTCTTCGGTCTTTGTTGGGGCCTTCCCTGTGACAAGTCTCTGTACTAGCTCAGCAAAGAGTCACTACCAGGAAACATGTACCCTGCCCTTTGTTCATTGCCCCTCCTGGACAGGGCCATCAGAGATTGGCTGAAAGTCCTCGGGGGAGAGGAAATGGTCTCTGGCTTGTCCTCAGAAGCAGGTGGCTGATAAGCTGGAGATAGGGCTGGCTCCCAAAGGGTCACAAAGGAGGCTTTTAGGAAGTTTATATCTGAACATGCCAGGCAGGCCTTAAGACAGCGGTCTTTGAGGCGACCCAATGTTGTTCAGCCTGGGCCTGGGGTCCACGGGGGCACAACCCCAGGGGTCCTAGAAAGGCAGGATGGCTGGACATATCAGGGAACACCAGGAATTATTTGTAAGATCTGAGACTGCCCAGCCTAGAGGCGAGAAGACAGGGTGAGGGCGGGACAGTCATCAAATCCTTGATTGAGGAAGAAAGAATGCTCTCAAGGACAGAGAGGACCACAAGATAGCGGGCTAGGGAGGCACCTGGGGCTGTTTTCAAGATGACCAGCCTCCCTCGAAGAAAAGTACCCCTTCTGGGTGGCTGGCGTGCCCTGAGTCAGTAGGGAAGGGTGGACTCGGGGGTTAGACATCTTGCTTACAGCTCTGAGAATCTCAGACCCCAAATCCGACTCCACGTGCTCTGACTGCTCCCCCATCTTCCATCGCCTCTCCAACCGGGTCCACAAAATTTGTTTCATACATGTTCAAATCTGGCCCCCTGTGCACCTTGAGAGGTACCTAATGTCCCTACAAGATGTCAAATGCCAAAAGGTGCCTAAATGTCCCTACAAAATCCAGTTCTCCCTTTCCTCTTCTGCCTCAGCCGTCACCTCTCCTACTTCGCAGTCAGCAATAAGCCAGACTCAATTGTTTTCAGGTCCTCAGGTGGGCCCTGCAGTTTCTAAAATCTCCAGGCAGCCCCCACGCTCTTGCTTCTCCTAGGCATATTCTCCCTGACTCCTCCTCCTCACGCTACTGGTTCAGTCTTGTTTACCTTTCAAGCCGTAAGACTGAACTTTCTTTGTGAACTCTCATCACAGACAAGATCAGGTCCCCTGCAAAGTGCCCTAGATATCACAGCACATGTCATGCTGCATTGCATTCTCCTGATAACCCATCTCTGTCCCCACAAGACTTCAGGCTCCCTCAGGGCAGAGATTGTCTGTATGGACCTGGCACAGAGTTGGTACTCAACAAGTATGTGTTGAAAGAATAGATGGCTGGCTCGATGGGTAGATGGGTGGATGAGATGCCCATAAGACAATTTATAAGGCTGATGGCAGAGAGCCAAGCCCTCCTTCCAGCATGTTCTGGAGCTAGTCCCTGGAGCTTCAGGCAGGACATATAGGGGCCATTGGTTAGACAACTGGGCAAAGAAGTGAATGGGTTTTCATCACCACCAAGACGGTGATGAGGAGATAGGGAGTAACCCTTCCAGAGCTGGCCCTGTCGATCGGCTATGGCTGCTGGTGGCTGGGCAGGGACCCAGGGAGTATTCTGATCCTAAAAGGGATCCGAGGCTCATTTATACACAATCAGTCCAAGAACCCCCTTCTTGCATCACCAAGTAGCAAGGCCCATTCTTTCCTTCTAAGTCTCCAGGCCCAGCTCTCTTTAAAAATTGTGTACACATAGCGTAAAATGACCATCTTAACCTTTTTTTTTTTTTTTTTTTTTGAGACGGAGTCTTGCTCTGTTGCCAGGCTGGAGTGCAGTGGTGCGATCTCAGCTCACTGCAACCTCCGCCTCCCGGTTCAAGCGATTCTCCTGCCCTGAGTCGCTGGGATTACAGGCACGTGCCACCATGTCTGGCTAATTTTTTTGAATTTTTAGTGGAGACGGGCTTTCACTAAAAGCCCTTGATCTCTTGATCCTCCCTCCTTGGCCTACCAAAATGCTGGGATTACAGGAGTGAGCCACTGTGCCCAGACCATCTTAACCAATTTTTTTTTTTTTGGAGATGGAGTCTTGCTCTGTCACCCAGGTTGGACTGCAGTGGCACAATCTCGGCTCGCTGCAACCTCTGTCTCCTGGGTTCAAGCAATACTTCCACCTCAGCCTCCCAAGTAGCTGGGATTACAGGCATTCACCACCATGCCCAGTTAATTTTTTGTGTTTTAGTAGAGATGGAGTTGCACCATGTTACCCAAGCTGGTCTTGAACTCCTGACCTCATGATCTGCCTGCCTCGACCTCCCAAAGTGCTGGGCTTACAGGTGTGAGCCACCACACCAGGCCCCTCTTAACCATTTTTTTTTCTCACAAATATATTAGATTTTAATCTTTAATATCTAACATTATTGCTTTAGGAAATTATTTCCCTGAACCAAAATACAATGCTAATCACATAAAAACATACACATGTAAAAGTAGTTCTCCATTTTCCCAGGAAAAAAATCCCAGTGTAACTTTTAAATAGTCAAGCTTCTTATTTTAATTATCATTAAAGTCTTGGTCATCTCATGTATTAGCTCTGCAACTTACATATTTAAATTAAGGAAACATTAGACAACCGTTACAATTTATAAACTGAAGGTGCCATTATTGAGTAAATATATTTCTCCATGAGTGGATGTGTCTCTTCTCCCACCAACAATGAAGCAGCAATATACTTTAATTTTATTAGTAGATGATACACTGCCGCAAATTCTAATTCTGGTCTCCATCCCTGTGTTGATTTTGTGTACATGTGTGAGTTGGTTAGAACGCATCAACAGTCTAGCAATCAACAGCAAGATGAGCTAGGTTTGGGCTTTCGGTGAAGGTTGACTGTGTCTGTCTGAATCAAGTGATCTGACCTATCCTCGGCAGCAAGAACTCTTCGAGCCGCTTCCTCAAAGGCTGCTGCCACATTTGTGACATCTTTTGCACTTGTTTCGAAGTAACAATAGTCGCTGTTGTCTCTGCACCAAGCTTGGGCTTCTTCTGTAGACACCTGCTGTTTGCTTATATCAATCTTGTTACCCAGAATCACAAAAGGAAAGCTCTCAGGCTCTTTCACATCTGCAGAATATATGCCTCTGTAAAATGCCATCCTCAGGCTCCAGAATCGCTCCTGACCTGCCGTGTCCCAAATCTGCATGGTAACAAAATGTCCATCCACTTCCAAATCTTTATTTAAAAACTCCACACCTATTGTATGGAAGAACTGGTTATCAAACTTATTAGTTACATATCTGTTCATAAGAGAACTCTTCCCAACTCCACCGTCTCCAAGGAGAATTACTTTCAAAAGTGATGGTTTTCCTGCCATTGTTAATCTCAAGAGCTTCAAGAACCCTCCTGGGGTTGTTGAGAAGATGCACTCAAGCTACGGGGGAAAGCGTTTCATCACAGTGCCAGGCTCATGACAGGAGTGCAAGAGTGTCTTGCGGCCACACGGCAGATGGCTGGGGAGCTCTGGGCTGGCCCGTCTGGGTGCTGTGAGGACAGAGGGAGTCGGGACCTGCAGAGCAGGAGGCGGAGGCAGTAACGCAGCCAGGCTCCAGCTCCAGCTGCTGCCGTCCAGTGCGGAGGGAACAACATGGTCCCTCTTAACCATTTTTAAATGTACAGCTCAGTGCTGCTAAGTATACACACACTGTTGTGCAACCAACTTCAGAACTTGCCATCTTTCAAAACTGAAACTCTACACTCTTTAAACAACTCATTTCCTCCTTCCCCACGTCCCTGGCAACTACCTTTCTACTTTGTGTTTCCTTGAGTTTGACTAGTCTCAATGCCTCATAGAAATGAAATCAGACGGTTATTTGTCTTTTGTGAAAGGCGTATTTCACCTAGCCTAATGTCCTGAAGATTCATGTAGTTTGTGGTATTTGTCAGCATTTTTACGGCTGAATAACAACCCATTCTATGCATAGACCACATTTTGTCTATCCGTTCATCTGTCAATAGGCATCTGGGTTGCTTTCACCTTGTGGCTGTTGTGAAGACTCCTGTTATGAACGTGGGTGTACAAATATCTCCTTGAGACCCTCCTTTCTATTCTGTTGGATATACACCAAGAAGCAGTATTGCTGGATCATCTGGTAACTCTATGTTTAGTTTAGCGGTTTTGTTTTGTTTTGTTTTGTTTTTTTGAAACGGGGTCTTGCTCTGTCACCAGGCTGGAGTGCAGTGGTATGATCTCGGCTCACTGCAGCCTCCGCTTCCCTGGTTCAAGTGGTTCCCCTGCCTCAGCCTCCCGAGGGGCTGAGACTACAGGTGTCTGCCACCACATCCAGCTAATTTTTTGTATTTTAGTAAAGACGAGGTTTCACCAAATTGGCCAGGATGGTCTCGATCTCCTGACCTTATGATCTACCTGCCTTGGCCTCCCAAAGTGCTGGGATTACAGGCGTGAGCCACCGCGCCGGGCATGTTTAGTTTTTTTTTTTTTTTTTTAAGGAAATGCCATGCTGTTTGCCAAAGCGGCTGCAGCATCTTACATTCCCACCAACAATGCACAAGGGTCCCGATTTCCCCACAGCCTCACCCATACCTATTATTTTTGTTTTGTCTTTTAAAAATAGCAGCCATCCTAGTGGGTGTGTGGTATTTCACTGTGGTTTTGTGCTTGCTTTGGCAGCACGCACATTAAAATTGAAATGATGCAGGGAAGATATTTCCTTGTGGTTTAGATTTGCATTTACTTAGTGATTAGTGGTGTTGAGCAACTTCTCATATACGTTTCCATTTGTATATCTTTGGAGAAAGGCCTATTGAAATTGTCTGCCAATTTTTAAATTGGGTTATTTGTCTTTTGTTGTTGGATTGTAAGAGTTCTTTATATAGTCTGGATATTAACCCCCTCTCAGATGTATGGTTTACAAATATGTTCTCCCATTCTTTAGGTTGCCTTTTTATTCTGTTGATTGTGTCCTTAGATGACATAGGCCCAGCTCTTTTGAGGACTCTTCCTCCCTCTGTTTTCTATTTAAACTTTCGTTTGATATTTATGTTCAGCTGATTTCAGCTAGCTCAATATTGTGAGGAGGCTCTAGAGATAGGAGGAGGTGGTAAGATTAATGCTGGCTTCCAGTCTTTGGGTCCCTGAACTTGATTCCATTCATTCCTTATCTACCTGTGTATTCATTCATTCAGCAAACACAGAGTTTTGGAATGAAATAGATCAGGGAAAAACTGGACAAGTAGTCAAAAGAGAAGATCTGATGCTCCTCCAGCAGCCTGCTGGGCCTGTGGTGGGTAGACACTCCATAAACAGTAGTGATTGTCATTTCTCAATGGCCAGCAGTGGGCAGATGCAGCCCTTCTCCAGGGTCCCTTAAATCTCAGGGTCAAGAAACCAATGCTTTCTGAGAGGTCAGCTTCAGTTTATTTTCCCAAGAGATCAAGTGCTGTTGACAAATCAAAGCAGGACTCTGACCAAGCCTCTCCCCACAGTGACAGGGACAGTGACAAAGTCTCCCTCCCGTCTTATGTTCTGACCCTAAAGCCAAGGAGGCAGGGAAGACGCTGTGCCTGGCAGGGAACCAAGGGAGCCCAAGTTTGTGATGAGCAGCGTTTTTATGAAAGACCTTTCACCAAAAAGAGCAGGGTTTAATCATGTTGTCCTGGGTCAGGTGGCATTAAGATGAGCTAGCTGCTGTGCAGTGTTTGTTTGAACCGTGGAGCTCTCCGACTAGGAGGGCAACTGGAAGGCTGCCTCCAAGCGGAGTGACGTTGCATTGATCCTTCCCCTCCTGCCAAAGAATCCTCCTCTCCTGGAAGCCCAGGAGCAGCTTCAAAGCGGACGATGTGGGGAGGGATTCTGGACCTCACTTCTAATCCTGGATCTGCTCCCACTGCTGGTGCCACCTGCTCCTGGTCTTTCTGAGTCTCAGCTGCCTCACCTGCAGAATGAGCATAAGAAAAACACCCGGAAGGAGAGCAGTTTGTGTGAGAAGATTCACAAAAAGTGCCTGGCACGTGGTTGGCCCTGAGCAAAGGCTGGTTTCCTTCTCCTCCCTTTCCTCCTCGGCCTCTGCTTGCAACTCCACTCTCCAACTTCTGCAGGTGCAGGTGTGCATCCCCCTGGCTCAGCATCCTTGGGGCTTCCACGCTCTCCCCTCCCTGGCTGCACAGACCCTTGACTTCCGGCTTGTGTCACCCCCTTCCTTTTCCCTCCAGGAGAATTCTCTCATCCCTCAGGAGCGGCTCCCACCTGCCACCCTTGCTTAATATTGTAGCCTGTCTTGAGGACACTGTTCCCAGAGCCCCTTTGAGGACATACTGGCTGCTCTGGTTTTTGGCACAGATCGCACTTACTTTTGGCGGTAAGCATTTGTCCCGGGCATGTCCCCAACTGGGCCAGGAGTCTGGAGAGCAGAGCTGGGATCTGAATCACCCATCTTGGGTGGGTAGCTCAACGCGGACACCCATGCATGAAGCACTGCTTGGGCCCAGCTCTCTTCTTGGACAGGGGTCTGAATGATGGTGGTGGCTGACAGATCGACCACAGATGACTGACAGATGGACCCACTGGTCCCCTTATCAAGCATCCAGTACTCCATCCACCCCGCACTCCATACTGACCTCCTTCCTTCACCAAGATGTCATAAAGCCTCTCACCATTTAATCTGCAAAGCCTACAGGTCCCTAGGGCAGAAAGGCATCTATGCTCTGTGTCTGTTCCCAACCTTGACACACTTAACACTGCGTGTGCGCCCTAAGGCGGGTACCCTGACCGTTCCCATCCCAGAGTGCTGGGGTGTAGAGCTGGAAAAGAGGCTAGAGATGATTCAGGACAATTTGCTCTTTTCATGCTGAGGAAACTGAGGCTTGGAGAATTGGGGAGACTTTTTTTTTTTTTTGAGACAGTCTCACTTTGTTGCCCAGGCTAGAGTGCGTGGCACGATCTCAGCTCATTGCAACCTCTGCCTCCCTGGTTCAAGCGATTCTCCTGCGTCAGCCTCCTGAGTAGCTGGGATTACAGGCATGTGCCACCACATCTGGCTAATTTTTTGTATTTTTAGTAGAGACAGGCTTTCACCATGCTAGTCAGGATGGTCTTGATCTCCTGACCTCATGATCCGTTCACCTCAGCCTCCCAAAGTGCTGTGATTACAGGCGTGAGCCACTGTGTCTGGCCAGAAGACTTTTGAAGGTCACACACATTTGGCACATCCTGGACCTAGAACTCAGGGGTCTCCCTCTATTAATTTTACTTTAGCAAGTTAATCAACATCAGTGAGTCCCCACTGTGGACCAAGCCCCAGCTAAGATTTTCACACTCATTCTTGCATTGAATTCACATCATGTTGTTTGAGACTGATACTATTATCATTGAACAAAGGGGAAACTCAGCCCTCAGAAGAGGGAAATGACTGGCCCAAGGCTCGTGTCTAGTAAGTGGCCAAGTGTAGACTTGAACCCAGATCCTTCAACTGCCAGTTTAGCATTCTTTCTGGCAACCTTGAGCTCCTCCTTGGCTATACCAAAAGGTTGCTGAGGGAGCTGACACCCACTCCCCGCTGAGAGGAAGGGGTCAGGGTTAAGGCCCATTGAGAAGCTGGGTGTCACAGATGATGGCAAGGGCCCTGATGGCCTATAATCCCAGTGGCTTTCTGGCAGAATGTGGCCCTGTTTTGCATAGCATGTGAATAAGGTCTCATATTCCTCAGGAATTCTACACAACAGCTCCCTGGCTCAGGGTAGGCAGAATCTCTGCTGAGCGAGGCTTTCTAGCCCTGGCCAGGCTGACATCTCCTGTGGGACATCCCTTGCAATGCCAGCAGCTTCCATACCCAATCCTAGGGCCAGTACTTTTACCCACTTTGGGCTTTGGTCTCTTGGCCTCAAATGGGATGATGATGCCTAAAGACATTTTTTAGGCCGGGTATGGTGGCTCATGCCTATAATCCTAGCACTTTGGGAGGCCGAAATGGGCAGCTCATTTGAGGCCAGGAGTTTGAGACCAGCCTGGCCAACATGATGAAACCCCATCTCTGCTAAAAATACGAAAAAATTAGCCATGCATGGTGGCACATGCCTATCATCTCAGCTATTCGGGAGGCTGAGGCAGGAGAATCACTTGAACCCAGGAGGTGGAGGTTGCAATGAGCCGAGGTTGTGCCCCCTGCACTACGGCCTGGGCAATAGTGAGACTCTGACTGAAAAAAAAAGGCATTTCTTTCTCATACCACTTTAGAAAGGTGAAGGCTCCATTAAAATACCTTTAGCCTCCACATATGCTTCACAATAACAACAGTTGTGGCCTGTGATTAAGCACCTACAACATTCTAGTACTTAGTTACATCCTTGCAACATCCTGTT